AGACGCCCTTCAATTTTGAGCATAAGGATTTTAGAAAAAAGTATCGTCTTATAGTCGGAAAAATACGGTAATATTAAACTTTTAAAATTAAACCACATGTATTTCCTGCACTAATATACCTGTAACAGCTCTGTTAATCATGTATGTCAAGTCTATTGTCATAATGGTACTGTTATATTTTAGGTTTGAAGTTGTTTGGTGTTTTTAATCTGTGAAATTTGGAAGCCTTCTAAAACCTCCAATTTTAAAAGTTTTTAAGCATACAATCCAAAATGTTTTTTTTGGAAGGAATTAAGAGATCAAAGTATTTTTCCTTTCTGGAAACCAGTTATGCAAGCAAAGGAGCCAAAAAAGGATAATGTTATGTTATACCATGTCAGTGTCTCAGCCAATCTAGAGAAATACCCTGATGCCATACAACATTTGACCAGCCTGAGTAATTTCAGACATATTGGACCCAGTGGTAGGACTAAAAATGCATCCTGTACCTCTTTTGGGGAGGAGGGATTGGATTTAATCGGCTAATATTGGCTCAGTCATGTTTCGACCAGTGTCTTTGATTGGGCTGCCTGGCTGTGGGTCTATGAAATAAGCATCATTGAACATATCTGGAATTAGATTATTACTGTAGATAGAAAGATGCGTGTCTTCTTTTCTAGACTTCTGTGTGAAACACATCCAACTTCTTGAATGCAGAATATTTTTTCTAAAATACATTTTTAGTAGTAATTATTTTCAGTCCAGCTGTTTTTGTTTAGGAAAAACTGGCAGGACTTCCAGCACAACCTTTTTGTTAAGGGATACAGATAAGAACTACATGCCATAATAAGTAAATTGTTAAAATCAATATCTAAAAGGAAAACTTGTTATTCTTGTCCTTCAGTACATTTTCAAATTTCTTCCTATTTGAAATTTATTTGCTTTATAATATGTAAAAAGATTTAGTGTTAAAAATGCAGTCAAGTCTTTAATCATAATTATCAGAACTATGATATAGGCAACCATGGTGATAATTTTAAGGCTGCATGTTTGAACTCTTTTTTTTTTTTATAATATTTATAGAATTACCAAGCCATTAACTTTTGCTGACTGTGTTGGTGATGAACTACCTTTAGGATGGGAAACTGTTTACGATCAACAGATTGGTGTTTATTACATGGACCATATAAATCGTGAGTAGCAGGTTTTGTTTTTAAGTTATGCAGTTATAAATTCAGACTCGGATCCTAAATATTCATTCACATATAGTGAAATCAGAGTTGGGTGTGGGTACAAGATATAATAAAGTTATAAAATTGTTCCTATTGTGCATGCTGTTCCTACAATATGAAAAATATGCATAATTCCCATGGGTTCAGGATTGTCTTTGCATAACTTGTTATAAAGATTCCTGTCATATCTTCTTTTCTTGGAGATGGAACAACTGAATAAAACTGGCAAGCTTGATAAGTGCAAGTGCACATGCTTGAATATTTGGGATTTTATGTAATTTTTTTTTTTTCCAAATTTTGGACTTAACATTGCTTTTTACAAATTTTCAGAGTCTTTCTGTTGAAGGTAGGCTATTTTACATTTTGCACAGTAGAAAAGCCCAAGATACTGTCTTGGAATTAGATTAAATGGCAGAAGTATAATGGTAGTGAAGACAGGCAAGAATGGAAGATAATTGAAAGTGATGACAGTGTGAATAAAATGAAGGATTAAAACAACTGTAGGGATAAGACCGTAGTAGATATGAATAACTTTTTTTTGAGAGAGAGAGAATTGGAATTGCTTCCCTTTTTTTCTCTTAAAAATATCAGCATCCAAAGCAAAAACTTACATTAAAATCACTGTTTGTTGGATTGAAAAATGATAGCAAATTATACATCTTAATCTTTGTGATGTAGTCTTAACAAATAATTTGTTAAGGTTCTGGAATCTCAAGATCTGCCTGGCACTCAGCCTTTTGATTCCCTCTTAGCAGATGCTGATGAAACGAAGTTAAAACAATTCTAGATGAAAAGGATGGAAGTGGCTATCTTAAATTAAGACTCTAGTTTGTTATAGCACATTAGTTATACTTCAATTTCTTGTTTAAATGTTGCTAATTAAAAAGCCTACTTTACTGTGTCAAGAGAGAGCTATAAATGCGCTGATTTAAAAGAAGTGTTATTTGAAGCATGTGCCTTCTTAATCCATCATATGTTTCGTAGACTCATTTAAATCTATTTTGAGGCTGGATTTTAGAGACTAGTTAGTCACCTTGATGCCATAATGTCTGACATGGAGAGGACATAAGAATGCATTAATTTTTCTGAAGTTCCCAATAGCTTTTATTACAATTAACTACTATTTTAGTTATTTGGAGATATGGTATTAAAATAGTTACCCTACTTAGGGTGCTTCTTCCAGAAGATAGTGCTTGGGGTCTACTGTTGTCTTCTTAATATTGTCTCCTTAATATTTATGCTATTCGTCTCTTCAGGATTGTGTCTGTTTAGCATTTATATGAAACCACTGGGAATGGTTTTTCAGAGATTCAAATAAATTGTTATCAGTATGTTTTGATGATATCCAGTTTTAACTCATGTGAGCAGTGGGACTATTAAGCTGATACCTTTAATCAGTAGTGGAATAAATGAGGGCTAGTAAACTCAAAACATTCCTGATAAAATATAGATTTATCTTAGGAAAGATTGTAATAATTTCATGGAATTGCATATCTACTGAGGCAGAGATGACAATCTGCAGCCTTCATATGTTGGTGAATTTATACCACCAGCATTAAATGCCAATAAATGTAGGTGACTAGGTCTAGCAACATCTAGATGGCTCTTCCTTTACCAATCCTGAGAAATCAATTTTTGGATCCTGCTCATTCATCCAAGTAGTTTTGGTAGCGTAGAATTTCTTTGATCAGGATAGACTAGTATGTTAGAACAGTAACTAGGTTATAGTTACCATAGTTGTGTAACATTTCATATTGTCTCTAGTAATAGGTGTACCTATGAATAATGCCACTCAAGACAGTTTGAAAACTTAAATTGAAAAGCATCAGGCAGGCTTTGTTTGGAGCTTCTATGTAAAAATATTTGGCTGGTGTTGAAAAAACGTAAGAGGCATTTCTTTATTCTAAGCACAGCTAAAGTATTAGTACTTACCTTTAAATTATCATGTGGCAGGAGTGGGCATCCTGGAATCCTCCAGATACTTTGAACTAGAACACTCCAATTCTTTGCTATACAACAAAATGGCTGGTGCTGAAAAGAGATAAAGTTCAAAGTTATCTAGAGGTTACCAGGCTACCTACCCGCTCTCTGGCTTTGGTTAGTGAAGCATATCGCATGCCAGTCTGTTCATCCATTGAGGTCATCTTTGGACATTTTTTTGTAGGTGCCCAGTCATCTCATATGATGTAACAACCAGCAGGAAACTTTTTGGAAACAGTGTTCTGATTGTGAATTTTCCTGAAGTCCTGCCTTACATCTATATAATTAGCCTTTAAACCCAAAGATACTATTTATGTGGCTTAGCATAAAAGTGTGTGTAGGTAAATGGAGTTTTAAAGATGTAAGAGGAATTAAAGTGCACCCTTTCTCCTCTGTTCAGTGAGGACTGGTGTCAGGATTAGTCTGGATGAAATGCACTCCAGGTCTGACTGGTGAGAGTGTGTTCAGTTGGCAGTTTTCTTTCCTTTTTTTATGAATACTTTTGTCAGGTTCAGCCCAAGAATCACACGAATCAGTCCAGAAATCAGCTCAGCTTCTTTATTAGCTTGCACCTAAGAGACGGAATCTCACCAGACTAACTCTAATCCCCCAACGACAGCAACTATAACCATTATGCCCTTAGGGAGGGGCCAGTCTTTTTCTCTTGACCCTCACACAGTCCAGCTGGGGGCTGAGGAGATGCTTTCCTTGGAATGTCTCTCCCCCCTCTCTGTAACTTTGAAGCTCCATTCCAGAATCCTCCTTGCTCATGCCTTCCATCACAACTTTATGTGTAAAAAGGTTAGTTCCAAAGCTGTCTCCTTCTGTATTACGATTCACAGAGTACAGTTGTTACATCCTGTTAAGAGTGGGCCAGCAGTCTGGGCCAAAAAAGCAAGAAGTTGCAGGGGATATCATTAGTATTCCTTGCTGTTTGCCACTAAAATACAGTGATACCTCGGGATACGAACGCCTCTGCTTGCGAATTTTTCGGGTTACGACCAGCTCCAGCCCCAAAAATTTACCTCGGTTTG